CAGGATTTTGCGCGGTTCCGGCGCTGGTTTCAATTTTTGCTACATGCCCGATTTAAAAAGTGATAGCTATTTTAAGCTCACTTTTGCCCAACTTTACCCAACGTCAAGGCCCAAAAGTAAGGCAAGATTGCATCTCAATTTTCCCGTGCCTAAAATCATCTTCAATAGGAACTTTTGAAGTAGAGCTACTTAGCAAAAATTGAAAGAGATTTCGAATCAGCAAAATAAATTCTGCACAAGATAGGCTTGGCCTTAACTCGAAACGGCGACGTCATTCAAAAATGTCTCCTTATTAGTCGGATTCGGCGGTCTGGGCATTGATCACCTGCACACCATCGCCAAACCACCGTGGGAATACGTGAGATGCACAACATGGAGTTATTATGGAAATGTCAAACCAGAGAACATAATGATGCACCGGGACTCAGGTATAATCGATTTGGGTTTTTTACCGAAATTTTTTTTGCTTGCTGTAGGCAAGACAAAAAACATTTGGCGGTCTTTTATCGGATCGCTTGAGATTTTACGAGCCTCAAAACGAGAGAGAAAGAGAGAGAGAGAGCGAGAGAGAGATAGAGAATGAGATAGTGAGAGAGAGAGAGAGAGAGAGATGAGCGAACGGGAGGGAGAGAGCTATTGAGAGAATAAGAGTCAGAGAGACCAAGAGAGTGTTGCGATAGAGTGAGAGGGGGAGAGTGAGGGTGAGAGAGTGAGAATGAGAGAAAGAGCGAAAGAGAGAGAGAGCTAGCAGAGAAAGATCAAATATGGCTTAAATTCAGGCTTAAATTACTTTATTAGTAAGCAGATTTTCAGGCTTAAAAAGCACTGACATCACCGTTAAAGCTGTCCATCCCCTGAATGGCGCCAGAAATCGGGGCGCAGTCCAATGATGGCAAGCTCGCAGACGCATGGTCGCTAGGGGCCAAAATACCAAATATGAGATCCCGACAATGTAAGTTTCAACTCAGTCACGATTTAAAATTGATAGGTAGGGACGATTCAACTTTCGAATGATTATCCGAACTCGGACCTTTACATCCTATGTTGAAATGACTATTAGCGGTAGGCCATAACTCGATTATAAACAACAGCACTTTCCAGGGCCTCTGTTAAGCCTTTCGTGCTAGAGGAGTTGAGATGGACCGTTATGGACTTGCTAGAATCGGATTGGTTCGGTGAGTTCAGTAAGATAAGTCGTTGTTTCTGCTATTTTAAATTACTATGGCGTTTTGCATGGATTAGGCGTCAAAAATCTATCAAGAAAATTGAGCTCAGCCCTAAAAATATAAGGAAATTTTTGGTTCCTTAGGATTTTCAGGGGGTGGGGGAGAAAACCGGGGGGGGTACCAAACTTTTTTGTGGCGGTTCCGGTTGACCTAGTAATCGAATATAAAGCGTTTTCACACTGTTTTTAGTTAGTTTTAACTATATTGAAAGTAAACAAATTTTCAAAATCGTGAGAAAATTTTTTGGAAAGTCGAAAATTTGGCCATTTTGGGTCCTCCCCCCCCGCTAATCCTAAAGGTTCTATAGGATTTTGCGGTCCAAAATTGATTTTTATTTAAAATTTGTGGTGTTTTTATGCGGGGGAATAGTTTAAAGCTATTTAGAAACGTCTACGCTATTTATAACAAAAAACCAGCGCCCAAAACCCGCTTCGCGGGCCTTGGGCGCTGGAATGCGGCCTTTGCATGAGAAATTTGACTTTCCGATAGGTTGGGTCCTTCGGACCCCTCCCTGCATCCGACCACACCCGCGCGTGCAACTTGCAAGAATGAGGAAATTTGTATTTTTTGGAATTATGCAAAGTAGCGCTCCCTGGCGCCGGACACACACACACACAAAGATACGCGACCAAATTATATAAGGTAGGATTAAGCTTGTACCGAGAAAGTTCGCTCCCCCCCGCGAATCCTAAAGAACCAATTTTTTACGAAAACGAGGAGCAAAAACGCGAAATTTTTAAGGTTTTCAGTTATTTCAAAGCGCCGATCGATAGAGCGTCAGGAAAACATTTTTACACAATTAATTTCAGCTTGAAAAATAAAATATGAAAGTTTTATAGCATTTTTTTGTGTAGAAAAATATACATGCATTTTTTCAGGATATGATAAATTTTATGAACGCCCAACAGATGATGATTATCGAATAAAAAATGGAGAAACAACTGGTGTCTTTTTTTGTAAATTTTCATTGTGCTGAGTCTCTTTCTACGTTAATTCGAATAAATCATTATGGACAAAGTTCGAAGCAGTACGCAGCAGCACAAAGCATTTGTTTTTCTTTGACGTTGCAATTATTTTAATTCACTCGCCCATGAACACCAAATTGTAGCTGCAAAAACCAGTAGCCATAGGACTTTCTGAAAACAATGCAGGGTTTTTAACAATATAGCTAGGATTACCAGATAACCGATTTTCCATTTCGATCGCCATAAAATTTGACACCATCGACAACTAGCCGAACAAGAATAATTTTTTCGAGAAACCAAATAACCAAAACGAATGCGCTAAAATCCTACAAAAACACTTGGAAAATTGAGCATTGGGAACACATGTCAGAACACCGACCGCCATAATGCCGATAAGCAAAGTTCCGACAGCCCAAAACCCGACAGTCAAAATCCGGAACTGCCAAGTTCCCCTAGATGCAAATAGTTTTTTAACAACGGAGTGTCATTTAGACTAGAGTCAAGAATATGTTGGTTTAGTTCTCGGATTTTTGCTTACGCGATTTTGGCTATCAAGATACCGGCATGTCGGGATTTTGGCTGTCGAAAGCTTTTGTTGTCGGGATTTTGCCTGGAATGTCGAAACGTTGATAAGCCCCTTGTTTTCTCAAAATGTTGAATTTTTTCTCACAAATTTTCCTTCCTGCGGGGATCTTTATCACCGTTTTCAAGACGATTTTTGTTCGACGAAACCTATTTGCTCAAAAAATTCCGCCTCGAGGCAGAGGACAAAAGTTACAGACTAATATTCTGCTTCGTTTTATTCTACTTTCCATGTATTTTGCCTTTGAGAGCTGGGTGGTTTATTCGTCTAGTGCGTATTTGGCAGCGAAAAACATGTTCAAAGAATTTTATTACAAAAATTAAAAAAAGCAGCAATTTTGGTTGACTGGGGGTCTTAGACGAAGCGAAACTCCTCGGGCAGATCGACGCCCATACGTCCCGGGCGTCTGAAAATGATGATAAACGATTTTCGCTATGGAAAAATATTGATAACTAGCTTGTAAATCCAAAAAAAAACAGCAAATAATCATTAACTTGGGAGAGGTTATTGATTAGAATTATTCCTTTAGAGATCGTCGACGGGGGGGAGTCGTCAAAATTTTTGAGTGGCTGGCCCTGCCCCCCCGAAATCACGGCTCCCGTACGGGCCTGCTTGGGGTAATTGACCCTCCTCTTTCCGATGGCGTTTTCAGAATTTCGGTAAAATACTAGTTTACAAAGTGGAAACCGGTTTTGCTCAGTTTTGGGGTCCGGCAGGGTTCATTTTCAGGATTCCAAAAAGAAACATTTCTGGCAATCGAACAGAAAGTATTTTATGAGTGTGATTTGTAAAAGCGAACTTGGTTTGAACTAGAAAAACAATCTAAAAACTTTAAAAAATTTAAAGTAATTTTTCGTAAAATCCTAGTCATGTTTCTTCTAAAATCGATTTTTGCCCAACTGCAGACGGTATTTGCGGACAGTTCGCTAGGAACCGGAAGTTGATGGTTCGTGCCATCAAGTCCAATCGGTTTCACTAACCACTTTTGACCCGCGCGAATTTCAGGAGCGTTACACTAGAATGAAAATTGTGGCAGCATTATTAATCAAAACGTACTTCTTGTACTAGCTCTTGTAGTTTTTGCGCTGGACAGCCAGCAAGGCGATCTGCCTGGTCCCTCAACAGGCGTCATCCGTACAGAACAATATGCTCCGTTCGACGATCTGCTCGAAAAAGTGAGGGCCGAGACGAATTTTGATTCTCGGATCATCCGGCGGCGCTACTGCCGGGCCGCCTGGCAGAATTTGCGCGACGTTTATGGCCATCCGGATTCGTGGCCAGGCATTGGCGATATCAACATTATTCGGGCTTCGTTGACCGAAAAAGTTATCATATACCTCGGACTGGTTGCCGACAAAAAGGCTTTCGTCAAAAACCTGACCGAATGCAGCGGTTTCCTGGGTGGTGCGCCGTTTGATGATATTCTGGAATGGCGACCCATTGATTTCGATCTTAATGAAACGGGGTGAGCTTCTTAAATGTGATTAAACGTTAAATTTTAGTGCAAATGGCCAGGGCCCGATGTTGCGAGACGATGAAACAGGTAAGCCATTTTAACCTTCAGCTTCCCTGGCTTTGGCAGAAAAAATTAGCAAAACTGAGCGACGATTTCCAGGAGTAAACAGAAAAAGCGCTTTCAGTTCGTCTTCGCGCTGTCTTCGCGCTCATACCCTTGCGCCAGTTTGACTATTTTATCGAAAGCCACTGTATCATTACGGCGCTAGAAGTGCTCACGGTTTACCTGACGACCCAAGACCGGTTATCGACGGAGGACTTATGCAAACTCGTATCAATTGCCTTAGAAAATATCGAGCAGCTCGATGCGGTGTTCACGAAACGGTGAGGGCATTATTTGACTAGATGGCAATGCGAAAGCTCTTTGCAACGCCCGCTAGTTTAGCCTCGAGTTCCCAGTGCTATGCTACGAGGCGACCCGAGATGTGTGGCTGGAGGTGGCGCCGCTCGGCATGGTTTTTCGAGACGACTTGAGTGCCGTGCGCCCAATCTCGAGTCAGGATCGAAACCGGCGCACAGGAAAAACAGCTCCAATAGGTATCTTAGATGCGCTATGAGTAAGAGCATCCAATCTTAGATGTTCAAACCGTCCGACGCACGTTGATCAGCGCCATGGCTACGCTTCGGCAACCCACCTTGTATCCGAGCCGTGCTTATCCGCATCTACGACTAGATTACTGGCGCCAATGGATCTTGACCAAGGGCATGGGGATGGGATTGGCTATGGAGGTGCGTTGATATGCAGACTACCGCAATATAATAGTTCCTTCAGCTCAAGTACGATCATCAAAAATCGATGTCACAGGTCGACCTCGAGCACGAGCGACTTGTAGCCGAGGTGCCGGAAATTACCAAGAAAGATATTTTACAGGTTGATTAGTTCTCATCAGGTCCTTTATGAATTGAAACGCCATTGAATATCCCAAGGGGTACTTGAGTATTCCGGGGGGAGAATTCGCGGGGCGGGGGGAACCGAACTTTTTTTCGGCTCAGGCCTAGATTTTTTATATAAATAGTGGAAGTGTTTCTAAATTGTTTATAGCTATTCCTAAGCATACAAACTTTACAAAATTTAATTAAAAAAATTTAATTTTAGGTCGAAAAATCAATTTTTTCGACCCAAAAATGACAAAATTTTTGACTTTTTCAAGCGTTTTTCTAACTTTTAAAAAAGTTTTTGATGCTATTAAAATAGGCTTAAATTTTGCTAAGAGAACAATGTGAAAACACTTTATATTTGATTACTATTCCCACCAGGGCCAACAGAAAAAAAGTGGGTTTCCCCCCGCGAATTCCCCCCGGTCGATCCACTTAATGATATTTCATTTTTAAGAGATACCTCTTTTTCGTCGATGATTATCCGACTTATCCGTGCGAACACGGGACTGCAAGTCATCTAGCGGGTACATGCCGTTTTTGTCTTATTAATTACTCGCTCGGTTTCCTCATTTCGATAAATATTTTTCAGCTAGCGCGAATAATGAGCGCCAGGGATTGTTGGATTCACCTGGGTCATGCGAACACTCATGTGCGAGCCCTGAACAGCTCGCTTTCGCAAAAGCCCATTCGCTGATGAGCCGCCTTATCCGTTACTTCGAGGTGCTCATCCAAGCGCCGGGCCGAATTCGCTTACTTGTCTTCCTCCTTGAAGGCTTATGGCGCGAAGCCGTGGAAACGGAGGTAGAACACTAGCGCCAAAAATGCATGGCAACCTGTCTTTGAGTGATTAATACGGTTATTTCAGGTAACCAACATCTCCTTGAACTTTTTGGCCGCGTCCGGTACGCACGAGCCGGACCTAAAAATCCCAAACGAGCGCGTCGCCATCGAGAGACGCCAAAAACAGCTGCACCACGCCAGCGTCAACGTCCTTCCGGGCTACGTTGTCCAGTCGCCGCCGAACTTCGACGCCGTGTGCTGGGGACTGAAGCTGGACAGGCATCGCATACCACACGAACTCGACCTGCAATGGCACGGTTAGTGAATAGGAAAAGAGAAGATGAAATATTCTAAAATAAAAAATAGCAACGAATGGTTCAACACGATATTTGGTTTTGTCTCTTGTGGTGCAGAGGAAGCGTGCGCTGTCGTGCCTCGGGCTACACTTTACTTTACCCCCCCAGCCGGACTGGCTATAACTTTTTTATTTTACATATTGTAGGCTCAAATTAAAACTGTTAGTATATTTTTCGACGCTCTGTCGAATGGCGTTGCAAAATGGGGGGGTAAGGTAAAGTCTTACCGTGCCTCGCGCGTCTCAAATAAAGGATAAAAGTTTATTGATAGAAGCCGGAAATCGTAAAGGGATCAAGCCAAAAAGAACAAAATTTGGCCCGAAATAGTGAGCCCGCCTATAGACGCGGGACCATTACCACACGTAATTGTGAAAACGGTGCTTAGGTTACGATATAGGGCGGCAGACTAGAGTCTAGGCATTTGCATCTCACAAACCGAAAAATACCTACATACTTTCATTGAAGTAATGTATATTATCTCGAGGGCATTACAAAGTATGGGGTTTTAGGCGTCCTTCAAATGAAATTGTCCGATCTGGACCCGGTTTTGATGGAGCTGGCCTCAGAACTGTGGGAGTGGGATGGTGAGCGTAAAATGTTTGTTCAAGTTACAATAATTTCCAGGCTTGGAAGATGACGTTGTAAATCGCCCGAAAAGCTACAGAAAACGGATAAACGAATTAATTCAGCGTCTAGAGGCCTCAGCGGCATTTCAGAAGCGTAAGCTTATATAAGCATATTCAAGGCATCTGATTTCAGAGCCGCTCTGGTGGAATCAGATTCCTGGCGTGGTGGACCTTTGATGAAATCGTACAAGAATGATGGATACATATAAACGCAACGAAATTATGTTTTCTGCCTACTATGTGTCGTATTCAATAAATGTATTTTCGAAGACTTTAATGATCCGTAACATCACCATTATTGAGATTCGATCTTTTAATAAGAATTTAATAAATTGACTTTAATAAACTCGGTACACCTTTGAATTTGCTCGTAATGTCTCGGCTCAGCCGGCAGCGTGAAGGCAATCCTTATCTGCGGCAAGTGGGCCAGAGAAAATCAATGCTAAATTTTCTCCGCTAGCAGATTGTGGCGAACGCAATGCGGCTTTTTCGAAAGCACCCAACTTTCGAATAATTGTTACACCGGTGTTCAATAAGTTTTTCCTTTTTCTCACTTGCTTTGTATACCTATCAGGTTCTACTGCTTCAGAAAATGGATTACGGCGAGCAAATCGGCGCCGGCACGTATGGGGTCGTCTATTTGTGGCGGGATGGCAACGAGTATCCTTATTTGTCCCTAAAGATTTTTTTTACAGTGCTGTGATAGTGAAACGTCCACAAACACGTGGTCGCTATGAAGAATTCCGAGCAGAATTACTGATTTTGAAGAAATTTTCGCACCCAAATATTGTCAAGTATCGGGATCGCCCTTTTAATTACAAGGTGGCTTCCGAGGACTTGTTGATCTTTATGGAATATTGTGAGCATCATTCGTTGCGAAATGGTAAGAAACCAAATTTATTATATTTGGAAAAATTTTAATAAAGCCTTTACTGCTCTTATAGTTTGAACGGAGCCTTGCACTTTTCAGAAAATAACTCGAGTAAAATATCCAAAAAACCCCAACTAAATTTTAGTAATCAACTCTCCCCAATACGTCTACCATCTGAAGAACATCATGCGATGGTTGAAGAATATTTTTTGCGCTCTGAAGTATTTGTACGGCGAGAAGACCGTGCATGGGGATTTGAAGCCGGAGAAGTAAGCTTTAGAGTATCATCCATTGCAAGTTGTCTGCAGCATTTTCGTGGACAAGGCCTTTGTTTTGAAACTTGGTGACTTCGGGAGCCTCAAGCGGCTCGGCGATTCAAGCGAATTACACGAGCCCTTGCAAGTCGGAACCCCGGGCTATATGGCGCCGGAATATTCCGTGATGGCAGTATCGCAGTTAACGTCTGAGGTCGTAGTTTTTTTTGCGAACGTTCCTTCCTGAGTGTTGTTTCCCGTGGTTTAACACCAACTATTTTTAGCAACGCTATAAAGCTGACGTCTACAGCTCTGGGATCATTCTTATGGAATTGGTGAACCGCCGGTTTGGTCTTACAAAATTCGTAGAAACTTCTGTCACCGTTCAGTGCCCACTTTCCAAACGCGGACATTGTCTTTGACTTCGAAGTGCCGGATTATCTAGAAGAGATCCTAACGTCGTGAGACATTGAGACAAAACTAAAAGCTGATAAATTAGGTGCACGAATAGTTTTGTGGATCAACGCGCTACCTCTGACCAAACGCTCCAAAAAGTCATACGCCACTTGAGTGAGGTAATGCTTGGCTCAATAACAATACACGAACACATTAATTTAGTGCCACCCTCCCGAAATACGTCGAAATCAAAAATGGCCGGTGAAGCCGATCGGACTCGATGGCTCCAACCTCGAGCTGCCGACTCGGGAAGAAATCCCGAACGTTACACCTAATAGCTGGGCACTGAGCAGCAGGTTCTCGGAGGCTCCTCCACCGGTAACCAGTGACGCACGCGCTCCACGTTCCGCTCCTTTTGACGATCTAGTTGAAAAGGCAAAAGTCAAGACAAGTTTCCACCCGCGCATCATTCGCCACCGGTATCTGCCGGCAGCGCTAAGCAACTTACGCGTAATCTACGAACTCTCGGAAGAATGGCTTCAAGAACGAAATATAAATCAAATAAGAGCTACCCTAGCAAATACTGCTGTCGAACACCTTGAAAAGGTAGAGGACAAAAAGGATTTTGTCGAGAAAATCAGCAAATATCGTGGCTTCCTCCAGCAGAAACTTTTGGGTGATTTGCTGGAATGGCAACACCTCTCTTCGGGGCCGATTCGGGAAAGGCAAGTTTTGATAAAAATTAGTTAAGGATGCTTAGAATATCGAGGTCCCACGTTGATTTGTGGACCTGCCAACTTGAGAACAAAGTGCCAAATCTGGGAGGGGACGCAGGTGAGCCTTGATTTCGGGAGATCCGATACATTGGTTCCAGGAAAATTCCTACGACATGGTGTACCAAAAAGCACACCTGCGGCATTTCGCCGTATTACATCCGATCGGTCTCAAAATTGGACCAAAGACCCCAAACAACCAAAATCCTGAGTTTTTTATCACTGGATCCCTACAGTGGTTCTTGAGTTAGGGCCAAAATAATGTTTTCGATGCGTTTAGAACCTTTCGTCTCTCTTTTTGGACCCTCCATCGACTCCATCAAGCGCTACAGAAACTATGCAAAATTAGTTGTTAGAAAGCTTTTTGAATTGAGATGTAGCCCAATCTTCTGCCCTAGCTTCAAACCCATGCAAAAAAAAATTAACAAATTGTTGGCAGAGAAGATTAGGCCAACTATACGATAGAGCACCCAAAGCTCTTCAAAACGATATCTTTGGATCAGTTGTGTTACCAAACCAGCCTTGAAAAACGTCCAAAACAAGAAAGCCCGCAAGAACTTTCGGAACAACATAATACACCTTTGGTCCAATTTCGGGTCCGATCGAATGTAATACGACCAAACGCATGAGGGGTGCTTTTTGGGAAACCCTGTATATATAAAAACCGTGTTTGTGTGTGCCACTTTGCATCCGGGTATAGGCAGGGCAAACGAAATTTTTTAACCCTGGTAATCATGAAAATTTCAAGCTCAAACATCAAGTATGTCGACGAGTCAAATTCAGCTACCGGCCTCGCAGCGAACGCGCTGATGCCCCTCATCAGGCTCGATTATTTTATCCAGCTCCATTGCACGTTCTCGGCGTTGGAAGTGATCGCACTTTGCAAAGAGACTCGGCATCGCCTTTCAGCACTCGACCTTTACAGGCTGGCCGCCATTGCACTCGCCAACATACAGGGTGGCCCGAAAGTACGTTGACCGGGTTTTTTCGGATTTTCTAAAAAACTATAAGTACTAGCAGGGTCATATTGACGTAGGATATTTCTTATACAATTACTTTCAACATGGTATTATCACTTTTCCTATTGACTGACTTAGATTCGGAAAAACTGGCCGAGAAGATTGCTGAAAATGAGGTGCCGGCACGCGGGTACTCGGCGTATTGTTTGTCCCATAACTCAGCGAAGACTTAACTAAGGATGTTCAAATTTAGATGGGAACTAGTCAAGACCGAGGCCTTCAAGATCTATCACACCAAAAAATTTAGTCGGCTTAGGTTCTGCCTACAGAAGGGCGACTATGAGCGATCAAAAAACGCATGTTTCAAAACCTTAATAGCGGCTCCAGACACTTGCGCTTTTAGAACAACTCGACGGAATCTTTACAACGCGGTATCTTGTCGCCCTCCATCCAGTAGCGGTCAAAATGATGTCCGGTCGGGAAATCGTTTGTTGTACAAACCCGGTACATTCAAATTTTATCAAAATTTGTGTCTGGGTCAATTATGCTACTGGCAATCCGACGGCAATATCAAAATCCGCGCAAAATTAAAGTTTGATGCTCAGATATCGATTGCATAAAATTTGCGAAAATCAACTTATTCTGGGACATTTTCGGTTTTCAAAAATGTGTCGATCGTGTCCAGGAAGGTCGAAAACCTCTTTTCCGATATTTTGTGTATTTGCTGCTCCTAAGGCTTGGCTAATCTGAAGGCCGGAAGTTGCAGTCGCGGAGGCTGAAACCTCCGCGATAGGCCTTCGTGGGCCCCGAAATGAACTCGCCTGCGCAACTTCTCGGTCTCTTCGAAGCGAGTCAAAGCCCGATATGTGTGTGGAAATTAGTTATCTAGAGGTTTTCGACCCTCCTCACGATGGACACATTTTTCAAAACCGAAAATGCCTCAGCAAAAACTTGATTTTCCCAAATTTTTTAAAATCGAAATTTGAGCATCAAACTTTAATTTTTCGAGGATTTCGTCATTGCCATCGGATTGCCAGTAACATATTTTACCTAGCCGCAAATTGTCACAATATTTGGATGTATCGGGCTCGTACAACAAGCGATTTCCCGACCGGACATCATTTTGACCGCTACTGTATACCGTATTTCCTCTAATATACCCCCCCCTTCCCTAGAATACAGCCCGCTCATCTGCGGTGATTAAAAAATAGAGCCACTTGCCAAGAACTAAATTTAAAAAACCATTTTGAAAACAAATGAAATTTCCCGGAGATTTCCTTCGGAAGCCCTGTTGGCAGCCTCCTCCTTGATGCGCGCCCGGTTTGCCCCGTTGCCGTGCGAGGAAACCGTGAAAAATGGGGCGAGCCAAAATTAGGTCCGACAGTGTACATCCGCACTTTCAGTTTAACGTTTCCGGTTCTGTTGTACCAACAAGCCCGAGAGAAATGGTTCGACGTGGTTACGCTGGGAATGGTATTCCGAACCGACTTGAGCGCTGCCCAGCCAAAATGGCCAGAAAATCGTGAGATCTGGCGAGCCCGCCGCGCGCCATTAGGTTGAGTGTTAAGAACATGATTTATTACCAGAATCTCGACAAGCAGAATTTCGTAAATCAGGATCTCGAGAATTAGAACCTCGAGAACCAAGACCCGCACATTTTTAAAAAAAAGCGGGTGTTGGCCGGCGGCTTCCTAACTTTTCTTGATAGGCAAAAGGTATATATTCTCGAGATTCTGAACTTACGAGATTCTTATTTCGAGATTTTGATAGTTTCCCTGAGAACACCGTGGCCCATCATTCGATCATCCAGATATTGAAACCATCAGACGAACATTGATTGACGAAATGACGACACTTCGACAGCCAAACCCCTTCCAAGGCCAGGCTTATTGTAGGATGCAGTTGGAGTGTAGCGGCGATTTTTGGGAAATACAAAATATATTTGATCTGGAGCTTACTACCGTTTGCCTTTGATTTTGGTCCGAAACGCGTAAAACCATTCAGGAAAAGTGTAAGGTACACCATATTTGGAGCGTTCTGAAGAAGCATCGCGAAGCTGCTCGCGAGGATCCCATAAAAGTAAGCTTCGCTCAACCATGGTGTTCGGCGTCTCGTTCCATTTAATTATGACAGTGACAAATAATATAGCAGAATTCAACAGATATTGCGTTTAGCGCTATTTATTTTTCCTGGATGAGCCGCCAATGTTCCGCTGTTCTGAGGAGACGGATTGCCCGAGGGCGGGTGGGCACTTTGGAGTTACACTTATAAAAAATTAGGTTACCCAACTGATGTGCCGGAAGAACTGCAACAGCAATATCACCCATGCATCAGTCCTGAGAAGCTGGCATTCTTGAAAGCCTATTCGGCGATGAACCGAGCGATCCGTTACTATTTGATGCTGGATTATCCGAGCAGCCGAAATCGCCCGCTAATCTTTCTGCTTGATGGCCTGCTGAAGGAGGTTACAGACGGCAAGGTATGGCTTGTGCAAGGATCTAGTCATTCTATTAGGATCTAGTTACTCTTACATTTTCCAGCTGGATGATATCGCATTCAATTGCCTGACGGCGACTACAACCCGCGAACACCGGTATGCGATCCGAGGAACCTTTCACCCGGTTGCAAACGTGTAGTTGAGGCGGCCGTTGGGCCGGGTACCCGGTTAACCGGGTAGTTGGGTCGACTGAATCCGAACGGGCACCCGGTCGGTCAACTGAATGTTTGAAGCGGTTTCTCCGCGGCTTTTCCATAGCACCCGCTCCGTACGCACCAGGCACCCAGGCACCGGATGCTCGGGGTTACTTTCATAATTCACGAATTTCCATAATGTATAATTTCATAACACCAAATTTTATACTGCCGAATTTTCATTAAGCCGAAGGTTTATCTGTCCAATTTTTAAAAAAATCGCTGAATTTTCAAGAGTAATTTTTTTATACCGCAGAGTGTCATAGCGCCGAATTCTTTTCCTGAATGCTGAAAATTATTGTTTTGGCGAGCATCGAGTTTTTCATACAAGATGAGAATGTGTTTGCTAGCCTTTTTACTAACGTATTATCCTTACTGCATAAATAAAGTCTATTTATTAAATTTACACTCAAGGTTGGTGGCGCAATCTTCACAGATCTCGCCGTTTCGAAAATTCGGTGTTTTAAAAAATTCGGCGCGATAAACATTTGGCGATATGAAGATTCGACATGATGAAAACTTGTCATTATAAAATTGCGTAATATGAAGTTCGCCATGATATTAATTAGGCATTATGGTGTAAATGGGGTGCCGGGCCCGGAGCCAATATAACCACTCTAGTCGCAAATCCGTCGTCAATGCGAAGAAATTTAAAAACCGTCCCGGCGATGTTGTGCCGGGCTATCTCATCCAAGCGCCAACGGATAATTACACTACGCTTTGGGAACTTCGCTTGGGTACAACGCTCGTACACGAAGACCTCGACTTGGACTTGACAGGTTGAAAACATGAACAATGAAAACAAAACATGAAAAAGCAAACACGACCGGCCCACGAGAAATCGACACGCGACATAGTGGATCTGATAGAATCGGACACGGGGATTCCGAATCTGTAATCAGAACTGCTAAATAAAACGGAAAAAAAGTTATGGAGCTTCAAGTTAGCCAAATCGCAGAGTTGGTGCCCTTAAGGGCCCTTAAAAGCTGGGAACGGAATTGAGCAGAAAAGAGTTAGTGCATCTTCTTCAGCAGAAAAAACGCTTTCGAATGAGCCATCTTGCTTTAAGTTTACGATGATTTCGCGGAAATCTCTTCTGTGAACTTGGCAGGCCATACCCTTGCCCGTGAATCCAAAAAACCCGCATTGGGTGAATTGTTTGCAAATGGTACGTATTACAGCTCATACGAAAGAGCTTTTTCTGCTGAACGAGATTCACTAACTCTATTCTGCTCAATTCCGTTCCCCCAGCTTTTACGGGCCCTTAAAGGTACCGTTTTGGCGATTTGGCCAACTTTGAAACTTCGTAACTTTTTCCTCCGTTTTATTTAGCAGATTCTGATTATAGATTCGGAATCCCCGTGTCCGATTCTATCCGATTCACTATGTCGATTTCTCTCGGGCCGGGCATGCACTTCCCTTGTAAGCCAATACTAAGCTAACCTACGCTTAAGCGAAAGAAAAACTAAAAGAAGAATGACCGAAAATGACCTAAAAAAATGTTGCCCCCCTCCCCCGACTTGACTAATACCAAATTTGCTATGGTTCTTCACTCGTAGCTCGTTATTCTGACTGTTATTTTCAGGCGTTGCCCAGCTGAAATTTTCGAATATTCGCCCAATTCTGGAGGCGCTCGCTGAGGAATTAAGGGATTGGGACGATCGGATGTTTGTGGATGAAAATCGGTTGTGGGTGTGGCAATCTAGTAAGTCTTCTTTGGTAACTTTCAAATTTTTTTTCTGGGCGCTGGCGACGAAATGCGAGCGGCACGGCGTGAAGAATATATTAACAAGGTTAACCGATTACTGGAAGACTTAGAAAAGCTCGGAGCGTTCGAAGGTCGGTCAATTTTTGCCCATGTTAGCCCGGTTTTAGAGAAACGCACGCTTAAAGAAAGGTTGAAAAACTGGTGGAACGCTCGATGACGGGATTGAATGGCACGGCATCCGTGAATAACCTCAATTAAGCCACGCAAACGAATGCTTTGAATTGTGCAGCACCATACTATAAAAGCAACATGTGGCATCTTGTATTAAATATTTACCCGTGTCAAACGCGCTCTCTTTAGATTTGAGCAGAAACGATTAGAATATGTTTTCATCGGGGATTCCGATTTGTCTGAGAGGATGTTCATAGCTCCCCAGGTTGCTTCGATCATCTGTGCGCCACTTCCCAATCCGCGTGGACCTCTTCTGGACGTTTTTGTGAACGGTCCCATCCTTCCGAGCCGAGCGGCATG